CATCTGTTCGGGTTCTAGTTACTGTAATTTCTTGTTCTTAAGCCCCCCAAGTCCCCCAACTTTCCCTTCTATGCTTGAAAATTGCTGAACCTTTGGGTATATATAGATTTAAGACAATACTCAGGGATGCCGATCTTGACTCTTTGAACTGAACTGGTTTAAAAGTGACTTGGTTTAAAAGTGACTTCAGAGGCTAGTAGTTCCGGTTCAAGGTTTGAGGACCATCTGAGGGCTGTGGTCTCACAACCTCCATCCTCAGTAGCCTCAGTAAATCTGAACTCTTTAAAAACATTAAGTTCTGTCTTACATTTTTTCTCCCCGGCACCATCTGGCTCTGGTCTCTAGGTCGAGTCTGACGATTAGTCTTGGGGTCCCCTTTTCTCACTGGTTCTTGGGTTTCTTCTTTCTCTTGTGTTGGATCTTAGATGGCTGCTCATTAAGCCCTATTGTTCCCCATGTTTTGCAGCCAGATGAGGATCTTGGTTTTGCCTCCCTGTCACCTTCCTGTTCAGCAGTGGTTCTCAAGCTGTGGGTCTCGACCCCTTTGGGGGCCGAACGACCCTTTCACAGGGGTTACCTGATTCCTAACAGTAGCAAATGACAGTGATGAAGTAGCAACGGAAATAATGTTATGGGGGGGGGGTCACCACCACATGAGGACCTGTCTGAAGAACATAGTTGGTGCTTGAAAATAGTTTGAAAGAGGGTAGTACAACTCCCTTGTTTTACCAGTTTAATGTTTCCTTTTCCCCCACCAGGAAGTGGTAAACTGCTTGGTTTTGACGTTTGTAATCAACCTGTCCGTCCTGGACTGCAGCCTGCCCCGTGATTGGTATGCAAGGATTGCTCTATTGTCTATGCAGATAAGATGGCTATTGCCTAGTACGTAAATGAAGTGTCTGGTTTACCAGCAGGGCTTTGGTCAGTTGGGAGGGGCAATGCTGTTTTTCTTCTCTCCAACACTAATAGCAGAAGGCTCCCCGAAGCCTCTTTCTTTAATTTTAGTAGAATACTGTGTGTTAGGTTTCTGGAGTGGGCTTCACGCACTGAAAGAATTCACGCCGAAGCACCTTGTATGATCCAAGTGGGTTTTTATGAAGGGCAAAACAAGTTTCAGGTTTTATA